TAAAGTAGTGCTTCAAAAGGGGGGGGGGGGGGAGAGCTCTTGGGATGATATTGTTTGTTAAAATCGAAGTTGGGATCGAAGAATTTGCGGTTAAAGAAATATGTGTTAAAGTGCTTACGAAAGTTAGTCACTATTCCAAAAATATATCCTACCCGTCACGTAGCCCACATTACAATCATGAAAAAGTCTTAATTGATTTTAGATCGAGCAAACCTATACTAGTGGAGGTTTACATAAAGGGCAAGCATATGGTACTTTGTGCATACATGTAACTTTTTTGTGAAAGTGAGGAATTTCTTTGATATATATGAGTCCTTAAAGTATATTTGAGCATTTGATTCGAATATATGGATTCAACTTACTCTTTTGCTCTTGTTGTGAGGGTACATGATTTCACGAGGGATAGGTGATGTTGTTATATTTCTCGATAATGTTAAAAATTCAAGCCATGAATTCATTGTGATATTGAGTCGGTTTGTAAGGCTAGGATTGTTATAAACATGTTATCTTGTTGTTAAAATTTTTTGATATGGCATAGAGTAACGGGAAGTGTGTGTTGAAGGCATGTGCTAAAGTTCATATGCTATCAACCATAGTCATAGGTATGGTGTGTTTCGGATGTGCTAAAAGAAAATAAAGTGCTCTAAGTTAGTGTGAATTGGTGGTTGACTCGAGGACGAGCAACGTCTAAGTGTGCGGTGGTGATGTTTGGCCAAAATGCTATACTTTTAATACATTACTCGCCCTATATTTTGTTGGTTTAGTGATTAATTGCGTGACATTTGATCTAAATTATGTTGTTTTATGTGTAGGAGCATTAGGAGAAAGAGTCTATTGAAAGTTGTACGAAAAGAGGATGAAAATGCAAGTAAAGAGCACAAAAATACAAAGTCCCCAAGCCTAGCTACAGGCCAAGCGTAGCCAGCTCTGTAGCCAGCGTGACCGTGCTACAGGCCTAGTGTAGCCAGCTCTGTAGCCAGCTTGTCCATGCTACAGGCCAGGCGTAGCCAGCTTGGCCGCGCTATAAGCCTGGCCTCACGAGGTTAGACACCCAGTGGTCAAAAGTTCACGGATTAAAATACTCCGACTTGAATTCGGACTCAAGGACCTTAACCCTAACATATAAATACTCCCTAAACGAGTTGAGGAAAGGTTGGACATTTTTTTAGAGAAGAAAAAGGCTACAGAGCGCTGTAGAGCAAGGAATCAAACGAGTTTTTCCCTTTGTTTCTCTTTACTTTGTAGTTTAATGTCTTTGAACATCATGATGATTGTTTATACATTTATGAGTAGCTAAACTCTCTCATCTAGGATTTGATGGAACCTATTGAAGGATGATTTTCCACTGCGTTTAATATAAATTTGACGCTAATCTTTCTCTACTTGTTCAACGATAATTTCATTGTTGTTGATTGAAGTGTTCTGAATTAACTGTGCCTATTTAGTATGTACTGCTCGAGAGAGAGTGCGCATTTAGGAAGTTATTAAAAAATATCACTTCTAACGTATTTGAGAAATCAATATGGAGGATTTAAAGGCGGGATTAGAAATAACGAAACCTTGGTGCGATCGTAGTGAGCGGTGAATTAGTGTCAGCTAGCATAGTTCGAGAGAATACGTCTAGTAAATTGTGGTAGTTGCTCGAGAGAGAACTACGACACCCAAATTACTCACGGTCGGTAGAGAATACTTAGGCGAATTTATAGGAAACGTAGTGGAGGGGATTCCGAAAATTGGGGAATTAAAATCCTAGTCTTTCTCAATCTTGTTTGCAACATTTGCACCGTTAGTTGTAGACTACTACATTTTAATTATTGTGCTCTTAGTTAGTAAACACTCAAATCATTATTCAATATTTCTGAAGGTTGATTATTTGAATTCTTGCGAAACTAGTGGTTGTGATGTAGGTTAATTCTATATGGGGTTCGACTCCCGACTTGTAAACCGGATTATATTTGCAACAACAGCTAAACGTTTTAAGAGGCATAATTCGGGGTGATCACTGCTACAATATTAAATAATCTATTTCTTATTTATATATGGAAATAGAAATAAAACGTGATTCAATTAACAAATGTTGCTTCTAATCACCGTCTTAATCAGTTGGTCCCAGCTAAAACAAAAAAAGAAAAAGAAATGAGTGTGTTTTTATTACATGCTTAAAAACAGGTCAAAATCAAAGTGAGCCGAAAGACTAACGAGATCGACTAAACTAGCGTCGGTCGATATGAAAAATTAAAATCATATTCGACCAATTATGCTTTCTATTAAAAGCATAAATAATTTGGCAATTGGACTGTAAGTTTATAATATAATTTGAAAGAACATGTTAGAGAGAAATGAGGGACAAGCTTGCAGTTAGGTTGACAACAGATGAAAATGGAAGAAACATTTTATTCGTAATTAATTGGGATACGCATTTTTCGTTCTCCACTTGTGATTTTATATCCGATTGGTATCCCAACAATCGTTGAATCTTTAGATATATCCTTTCAAACTTAAGCTTGATGTTTGACCTATCAAATATTTATGTAAATAAAAATTAACTTAGATATATTGTATATGCATTACGTCTCTGAGCCTAATAATAAATAATCTTTGAGTCAAGTATCTGCTTTTGAATATGAGGCGTTTTTCTTTTGCTTTCATTTTATTTTATTCAGTCGGTATTTGTTAAAAATTGAGTTATTTTTTAATATAAATAAAGTTTGCTTGAAGTCTACTTTGTCAAGATTTTCAACTTTTGGTGACTAAATTAATGGCGGAAGCACTAATATGCTGGTGTATTATCGTCATCAAGATCTCAGTCTTCTTCGTGATACTGTGCTAGTCCTGTCTTTTTAAAATCATAATGAAAGAAAATACTTTTAATTAGCATTAGTGTTCATACTAAATCAACGAATGCATAATATTTATACTGCATATTATTTTTTTAGTACTTAACCATAATTAAGCGATATTATTTTTTCTTTAAGAGAGATGTATATTTTTAGCCGCTCCCAAAAATAATAGCCGACAAAATATATAATTTCTATATATATGCATATTTTATAAATGCATGAACAATAAAAAAAATTGGTAATTAAACTTTTTGTATTAACCACCAATATAACATTTATAAAACTGAGTAGACCATCTCAGTCTGCTCTACAAGATAAAAGAAAGTATCTAAACAAAAAAAATCTACATTCTCTATCTCGCTATACACATTCTAGTCTCTTCCTGTTAATGACTAATATTTACACTTGCTGAGCAACACTCGCGTATAGCCTTCAGCTCTGAAGTTGCACATGCAAGCCACTCTCCTAGCTAGGACCTCCCATGCAGTAGTTTGCTTCTCAAAAATCCGTGAATTTCTCTCAATCAAAAGTGCAGATTAGCTTAAGTACTCTTGCCGTCTTGGGTCTGCCCTTAGTTTTCATAACAATCCATCGGTGATTTGCTGCCCATGAGTCTATAGGAGGATACTAAACACTAAAAATTCCATACTTGGTACATTGATAATGGTGGATATATGAGTAAGAAAAGTATAAAAGAGCCCCAAGTGTAGGAATTTATGGTAAGATTGAGAAATAATTTTTGATTAATGCCACACTGAGACTAGTATAGTCATAATTGGATATTTTAACCATTTCAGTCAAGTCTTAATGCTGCTAACTAGGCAATGAGAAGGTAAACGTGTATAACTTTTCTTTTTTTAAAATTACATGGGGGAGGAGAGAGAGAGAGAAGGGGATGCTGCATTACTAATGAGTTTGAACCCCTCACCTCAATTGTGGAAGGCAGAAAACTCGGCAAGTAAGCAATCCCTCAACTGCAGTGTATTTTAACTTGAATATATGATCAATAGCTTTTTTGGGAACTTCGGAAAAAGGTGTGTGTGTGTGTGTGTCTTTGAGACGAATTTATTTTTGTCCATTTTGGTAAGCATCTTTAGGCTTAGTTCTACTAGTCTACTACATTCTTAAGGGAGGACTGTTAAATTGAAGAGGAAAAAGCGAATTCTAGAAGAACTTAGAGAATTTTTAACTTGCACTAACAACTTTATCTCCACAATCTCTCCCTCAGTTCTTCTTGTCTTGGGAGAATTGAGTGTTGTGGGCTGATAACTTGCTAGGTTACACTTTTTAGCCCATTTTTAGTCCTAATTTTTTGATAGGCCAACCAAATCTCACCCCAATTATTACTTTCTTTAATTGATTCCCCCTCCAACCTGTCAAACTTTAAGCAGTTGACAAGTTAAATAAAGTATGATTAAATTTGATAGCCCTAGAATAAATGAGTCAATGGCTAAAATGATGTTTAATGAACGGAGATATCTATGGAGCTCACCAAACAATTTGTCAGTAAAATGGGAAAGTAGAAATGAAAAGTATTCAGCACAAGAAACATTTGCTAATTAATCACGTTCATATTACCATTTCCCACGTAAGGAAACACATCAACTTTTGTGCAATCATAATTCAGCAGCAGCACCATATCTTTGGAATTAGATTTCGTTTTTTATGTGCTAGCTTTACCCTACTGTTTGGAACTCTGAACCCTTCTTTCCAAGTATACGATTTTCCTAGAGTTAAGAAAAATGTCTGTGGTGTGCACACCAATCGAGTCGAATACGCATCAGCTGCCAATAAGATACACTCTTCCAAGAATGTATACTTATCAGCCACCAATTGGTTGCAGCAGAACTTCTGCAATATCGGTGCTACGTCGCCGCCGTGCACGACCACTAAAATTTGCAGCAAATTGATTTTTTGTTTAGCTTTTCCATTAGGCAACAAGTTCCAATAATTCGACTTAATTCGGTTGTGGTTTTCGGATATAGGGTTAAAATGAAGTATTGGAACGTCTGTCTAAGCTAAAAAGCAACTGTAGTTTCTAATTATGTATGTATATTCAGCCATTATTCTATTTTATGAATAACTTACAATTGATTCGACTGTCCTTTCAATATACCACCACCTAGCCTATAATACACGGAACTCGGACTTCATATAAAGTTGACTTGAAAAAATGAACCACAATAAGAAACCGAGCTTCTTTTTCAATGCACAATACTTTGTTTTCCTGGTCAGAGTAACAAAGTGCACTAATATGGAATACCCCAAAGATCCCTATAGACAACACGTATATCCGATCTCCAGAATACTTAGTTTTAAATGTGAACCGTAGGAACCGAGTTCCAAAAGCAAGCATCCAGGAAACATTCTGGAGCATCAAAACACATCAACTTATTGAGAAGGCACAACCTACAATAGAATCAGAAAACAAGTACCACAGCTTAGGCAGACAAGAAGCGGCTCATCCATGACCGGAAGCGGGTCCAAGCTTGCTCGACAGCAGCATCTTCTACATCAGGCATCCCCATTTTCTTCCTCCTCTCAACACCCTCCGGCGACTTGTTCATGAATGCATGTCCAGTCTGTGGATAGAAGTAAACCTCATGTGGAACTCCTGATGTCTTCAGTTTTTCCTCTAGAGCTTTCCCAGTCTAGAAATCATATCAAAGATAAGTTAAATTTACAAATTGTACTCGCATTCACATGAACTGTATGTATATTTGCTGTCCAAATTACATATCGTCATTAAATGAGGAAAGATAAGTGTTCAGCTCAAGATGGTCAATACCACGTTCAGTGACCAGCTAAACTACAGTAGATAACATCCAACTGGAGTTAAAACCAGAATGACCCTAATATTGCAACACATCTGTACTCACGCTCAACCAGACCCCACTTTGTGGGACTATACTGGGTAGTTGTTGTTGTTGTATCTGTACTCACGCACAAGAGCTCATTGCTCTAGCTATCTAAGAAGTAAGAACTAACTCAGGAAGGAAACCCTCTCATTTGTTTATGTGTTCTTCGATTTTTCATATCTTTCCTTTTCTTATGTGTTCTCCTATTTTTCATATCATTCCTTTTTTACATCAATCAATGAGAATACACTATTCTTTAAACCCAAAAGAAATTAATCTGATATACTGGAACCTCGTTTAAGTTTTCCTGTTTACTTCTGTCTTAAACCCTCTTTTTTTGTGGGTCTTGGAGAACCTACATGAAATCAAAAGCAACTCACAACTCTCTGATGATAATAGAAAAAAGGCCATAATACTCGCATAGATGTCTGTATCAACATAGTGGTGCAATAACATGAGTAATGATAGACAACCATGCCTTTAGCCGCCAACCCCTCCCAATATCCCATAAATAGTTGCAATAACCATGCACCATGGTAAGCGCAACGCCAAACAGGACCATAGAAAGCAGGATAGACTAAATTAGTAAATAGTTGAAGAAATTAACTGATTGTTCAAAACTCACTATGACACAGTATAATAATGCTTCATGATCATGACATGAAAACAGGATCATGCAGATAATAGAAGCCAAAGAGGCAACAAGCCAACAACCACAGTAAGCTTTAAAGAAGAAACTGTTTTTAGTTGGATATACCTTTACATCTGAAAATCCAACAAAACCATCATCTTCCCCAAAATGTGCCTGCACAGGTGCCTTAGCATTAATAGGATCAGCAAGTTCTGGTGAAGGAACTCCATAGAAGGCTACAACTGCATCGACACCTGGGACCAGAACAGAACTTGCAATGGCAAGAGCACCACCCATGCAGTATCCAGTAACACCAACCTAATACACATATTTGTAAATCATAAGCACTCACATGACAAAAACAGTTAAACAATGTTGATAACTCTATCAATCTACAGAACTCATCAAACGTATAATCAGGTAAAAGAATTAGAAGCACCACTTGCTGAATTCCACACAATGCATGCTATAAAGTAAGCAGTTCGATGAAAACCAACAAGACAGAGTATGCTTAAGAACTTAAGGAAAACCCCAGGAAACAAAAAAAATGGTTTACAACATATCATGCTTAAAATTATAGCATGATTTGGCAAATCAGTGCATCATTTGGCAAGCTTTTTGGTATGCACGGACTTAAGAAAAGAACAGAGGAAGGGAGAAAAGTGGAAAAGAGAAGAGCGTTGACTTCACATCTTTGGTTAGATAAGGGGACAAAAATTACTAGGGATATTTAACGTAAATACTACTAGAACTATTTTATATTTTCATAATGCATGTCACTACTTTGGCAATAAGGAATCTCCTTTTCCTCCAAGAAGCTACTTATTGTCTCTTACGACAACATAACCTCCAATTAATTTCACTAAAATGAAGAATGTTCTATAGCTATATCATAAGGAAAAAAGTCAGTTTATGTGTCAAACACTCTTGGTTCTTCGTGAAAGACACCACTACAAGATTGCCTCACTTTATTATCTAACAAAAGCTAATACATGGTTGAACATGGAGGTCTAAGCTGACCATGTTACTCATCAGAGATGATGAGTGGACTAGCTTTGAAATATTTCATTTTAGCAGTTTAATATGTTGTCAATTAGCGACCAATTGACACTTAGCAACCAGCTAGACTTTTTGAAGATTGTCGCTGAAGGAGGGTCATTCAGCATATTCTGGGGTAGGAGAGCACAAGAGAAACTAGAAGAGAGGGATTGACATGCTTGAGAGAGATTGATGGTATGAGAGAAACAAGGGTTAAACATGAAAATGGAAGCTTGCGAAAGAGAGATAATAATATTTGGTGGTTTTCATTGAAAATAAACAAGGAAAGGTTTCAGTGGTTACTTGGCAGACTCCTTCAAGCTCCCAACTCAGATTGATTCCTCAGTGAGAATTTTGATCAATTTGGCAAGTTTCTTTATAAAGTATGCTCTTTCAAATATAGTTAGGAAGCAAAGTCGTACTGCCATTTGAAATTTGGTAGGCATAATTTAGGATTAAAGGTGAACAGAGTAAAATAGGTTGTATGTAATTGCTGAGCTTCATTCACCAAACGGAAATGGAGGACAAATTATAAAATATCCCCAGAAAATATTCTAATTACCTTGAGATAGGTCAAAAGGAATGACACAATTCACTTTGGACGAAGAGTATATCGAACTCAGTAATCCAAACTCCAAAGTATAGAGGCATTCAAACTATGTTGCAGGAGAACTAAACTGCTTACCTAGAAACAACTGAAATTAAGTTTCACAGGGAAACATCTAAATATATGGTCAAATAAGTCATATCTTCTTTGCTTTTAAGTAACTATAGGTTGTTTCCTTGTTAATGTTCAAGGATTAAAGAGAGTGGAATAAGGAGAAGATTTTAAACATAAGAACTAGTTGAGGAATTACACTGGCAGAACCTGTGTGTACCAACATCAAATCACATCAATTAACAATACTTATTTCCTTATTCTTTTTTTGACAAAATTCCAATTGGAGGTGCAATCAGATAAGTTGCCAGCACATAGCTAGCTACCATTTATAAGAAGGGACAAATTGTGAACTTCAACCGTGTATAATAAAGGAGTACTATCCTGTATCAAAAAGAATTATCAACACCACGCACAGATGCAACTTTAAACTTATAGTCCAGCTACTCCAGACAATATTACTGTCTCTAAATGGTGTCCATCTAATTAGTCAAACTTTACACTCTAAAACATTCACAGCTCTCGACATCTGAGAAACTAAACAGGTGCATGAACCAATAGCTTCATGTCAGACCATCTTGGTTGACAACATTTGACTGTAGAATAAACACCTAGTACCTTGTTGGAACCGTTTGACTTAAGCCAGTTAACTGAAGCCTGAATATCTTTGACAGCGCCTTGCCAATCAAGACCATCCATCAGATGTTGTGCTTCTGCAACATCTAACCCAACTTTTCCATGGTACAAACTGAAATCGCATAAAAAAGAAAAATAAAAAAAATTCACATTAACCATCAGCTACAATGTGATATGACATTCATCAAGTGAAAGTTCATGTGCAAGAAAAGGAGTCTTACTCAGGGATAAGTGCCTTGTAACCAGAATCAAATTGAGAAATTTTCTGAGCATGGTTTTTAATCTCAAAATCAACACCCCACCACTCCTGAAGCACAACGATTCCAGGGGCATCATCCTTTCCGATTACATATGCATCAAATGTCTGCATGATAAGATCACTCAAATGAATCAGCAATAAGAAGAAAGAATATTTTCCACTCTACAGGCCAGGCTAAGAAACAAATCTCGTCTCCAGTTCAGGCCTTCTAGTAAGTGAAAATCAAGTGAGATAAAGATATAGCAGGTCAGAACAAAGAGACATCAAAGACATCTCGAATATCATTACACAGATGAGCTCTTTTTTTTAAATAACTATGGTGTCAGGGACAACTTGTGCTCACCGCGACTAAATCGACCAGATACCTGCTACCTCCCACCAGGCTAGTACCAGCTAACTCTACCCACCAAGGCCCGAGCAAATGGGAAGAAATCACCTATTGCTTTTTGCCTCGCTGGACTTTGAACCTTGAGACCTAATGATTCTCCTCCCACTTCATTAACCACTAGGCCACACCCTTGGTTGCCATTACACAGACGATCAATGGTTCAACTATGCCTCAATCCCAAATTAGTTGCAACAGGTAATATGTATTAAATCGGCAGCTATTCAAGTCTATTTCAGATGAGCACTTTTTGATCAGAACCAATAATTATCCAAACACTAAACAAGCAAAATGCTAGTTCTTCCATCTTTCAGAATCTAAATCAGCAAGCCCTAAGCTAAAATTTGCTCGTTACAACAATGTCTCATCAAAATCAATTCTCAATTAAATGTGCACACTACTCTATATCAGGCTCTCCCATTAATCTAATTCAAACAAAAAATGTATTCCGAGTCCTCTAATTTCTTCTCCCTTCCACGTCCGGGTACGAAAAATTAAAATATTATCAATAAATCAACAATCAACTGGACCTCAATCCTAGACTAATTCAGGACAAGCGATGCAAATAGTAACCTCTCATTTTATGATTGAAAGAGAGGCAAGTGGATAAATGAAACTGAAAATGAAAGAAATACTTACAGTATCATCCCTTTGAATCTGAACTTTTTTAAAGGGAGTTGCAGAGTCAGCCATAGCGCGAACCTGAAAGCCAGAAGCGGAGAGACAAGGCGAGAGTGTTCGAGCTACAGAGAAAACTGGTGAAGTAGTATGTGTAGGTTTGACTATGAGAAGGCTACCTGCGAATATTCTAGAACAAGTCGATATCATGGCTTCCACCAATATGGTCAAGTTAGAACACGTTAAGTTGGGAATGAAGTAGAGTTTTTGACAAATATTGTCTCTTATCTTTGAGGCTAGGTCTATTTTAGTCCCTTAAATATGACCCTCAGCATATTTAGTCCTTTAAGTATGCTAAAGTGGAGCATATTTAGTCCCTTATCTTTGAGGGTAGGTCTATTTTGATCCCCTCCCAAATTCGACTCTGAAAGAGTAATAGCGATTTTTCATCTTTTTATTAAAAGTTTTTAAACAATCGTCTAATTTTACCTTCATACACATTTAAATTCTTGTGGTTTGAGATATTAAGGGTATGCTTGGTATAAAGCAAAATGCTTTTAAATGTTTTAAAAAAAAAATGAGTGGTTTTATCACTTATTTCTCCTTGTTTGGTTGGTAAGTGGAAAACTTTTTTCGGAAAATATTTTTTTATGTTACTCTCCTCACCCCCTTTTCCTAAGTCCCCGTGTTTCCTTGCTTCCCCCCCCCCCCCCTCCACACACACAAATACCCAACGTTTTTAGGACTCTATTTTCTTCAACAATTTAATTATTCTTCTAAAAATTCACACAAACCCAAAGGAACTAATGTGATGCTTTATGCTTTGCTTTTTTACGCAAAACAACGCTGCAATTTATGATTCATAACTATAAAGAAAATACTCTTTTTTTGGTTGAAAAAGAAAGCACTTTTTCTACAACATGAAAATAGAGTAATCATTTTATTGAAATAAATGAAAATACTTTTTCTACATCATGAAAAGAAAATACTCATTTTGTTAAAATGAAAGGAAATATTTTTTTTCTACATCAATAAAAGAAAGTACATTTTTTGTTAAAATGAAAAAATATTTTTTTATATCATGAAAAGAAAATTTTCATTTGTTGAAAGGAAAAAAAATCTATTTATAACATGAAAATAAAGTACTATTAATAATATCTTTATTTAGGATGGGGGTGGGGCGAGAGTGGGGTTGGGTTGGGGGTTGGGGTGTGGCGAGGGTGGGGTTGGGTTGGGGGTTGGGGTGGGGTGTGGGGATGGGGAATGTTGAAAAAGAGTTTTGGAAAATGTTTTCCCTTCTCTTGATAGGGAAAACATTGAGTTCATGAGAAAAATATTTTTCAAAAAATTTAAACCAACCAAACATGGAAAAACTGGAATTCCTACATACAAAACACACCCATAGTATATTACTTTTATTTTAATTTTCCAGAAACAAAACTAATAAAAATGATAAAATTACTATATCTTACCATAATTGTCTCAGTGATTAATTATTTGTAGAGAATCGGGTTTTTGAGGATTAACAAAGTGTGTCCAGTAAAAGTGTGCTAAGAACAAGTTCCTCAAGGCAGCTGCTTAAGGTTCTTACAAGGCAGTAACTTTTACACAAAGTTACAATAGTCCGAGATTGTTGGAAAGGGATCTTGATACGATAAGGATTGTTGTCCAAGAATATCCGCTCTCATAAGTGATAGACAAGAGTCACAAGATTCGCGGAGTCCTTCGAACTTTAGGATTGCTATCAAATAAGAAGTTGATTGTGTGTAGGACACCCAAAGATCTCGGAGTATTGGAAAGTTAAATACTTTCCCCATGGACTGAGAAGACTATCCTTTTGCACATCAACTGAGGAACAAAACACTGCATTTCAAGTTCAACGCTCAAGGCAATCATCAGTGTCAATGTTCTTCTTGAGTCTGTTAGTTCATGTGTATTAGGAAATCTAGTCGTAATCATAATGTTTTTCAAAGCTTGTTAGTTGGAGTAGTTGTTTTAGTGTGCAAGTTAGAGTAACTTGTAATTCATTCAAATGATTGAAGTAGGAGAATTGTGTTGGTATTGGTTTACAAGTCTTGTAATCAGTACATTTGGCTCATTAGTTCTAGTGAAGTTGAAGTTAAATCTTATATGGTAGGTCGTGATTTTTGCACCTTTGAGCCGGGTGATTTTTCACGTAAAAATAATTGTTCTTACTTTTTACTATTTATTTCATTTGCGCATACGGAGTAAGGCAAAGAACCAAGATCTTTAGTAATTTAGGAAGACGCTCAAATTAACAATTAGTATCAAAGCAGGTTCTCTCAAACGTGGTTAACACCTAGAGAGATTTTGGAAGCAAAATGAGTGCTCCACCTTGAATTAATGAAGGACAGTTAACTACCAGACCACCTCTGTTCAACGGAAAATACTACAATTGGTGGAAGGCAAGAATGGAGGATTTCCTAATAGCTGAGGACTATGAAGTATGGACAATAGTGAATCGAGGACCACTAACTCCCACCAGACAAAATGGGCAAAATAAACTGTTTTAAAGACTTCATAATGATGTAAAAGAATACAAGGGCCAAGAAAATCCTTATATGTGGACTTGGTCGTGATTAGTACAACAAGGTATCGGCATGCTCCAATGCAAAGTAGATCTGTGATGCACTTCAAACTGCTCATGAAGGAATAAATCAAGGCATGAGTTGCTCATGAGTAACTATGAGCTCTTCTCAATGAAGGAGTCTAAACCTATTGAGGAGATGATGATTAGGTTCACTATAATAACAAATGAACTGAAGTACTGGGAAAATTTCAAAAATATTCATTTTTTCTTAAACTCTGTGCCTAGTCAAACAAGTTCACATAAATTGCAACAGAGGGAGTATTGATTTTGAGATAATTATAATGTGATAAAACCCCTTATTAAAAGTAACTTAGCCACAAAGTAACAAACTTTCTAAAAGATAGACATTCACCTAAAATACAACTCATTTATAACATACGGGAATTTTATAAATTATTATTTTTTGCTATATTTCTTTAATGTCTCATAGTTGGAGGCATACTTTGCTTTTTAATTTAATCATATCATATTTGAATTACTGAAGAGAATAAAGCACTTATTACAAGAACTAGATGGATGTGGCCCGTTCTTGCACGGGCCCAACATATACATTTCCTTTTTGGTGCATTGGATTTGATAAAGCATATTAGTACTATTAGCCCGTTTGGCCAAGCTGCAAAAATCATCTTATTTTGAGAAGTGCTTTTTTTCAAAAGTGCTTTTCTCAAAAGTACTTTTGGTGAGAAGCAGTTTGTGTTTGGCTAATTAGTTTGAAAAGCACTTCTGAGCAGCAATTAGTGTTTGGCCAAGCTTTAAAAAACTGCTTCTAAGTGTATTTTTCTCAAAAGTGCTTCTCAAAAAAGTGCTTTTGGAGAGAAGCTACTTTTTTCTTGTTCTCCAAAACTGCTTCTGCTTCTCCTCAAAAGCATTTTTTTTCCTTCCAAAAGCTTGGCCAAACACCTTAATTTTTGGCCAAAAGTGCTTTTGGCAAAAAAAAAGCACTTTTGGCCAAAAAGAAGCTTGGCCAAACAGGCTATACGATTGCAAGAAATACATTTGAATCAATGGACAAAATCTTGCATTTTTAAGTTCGGTATTACAAATAATGTTATCCATTATCAGCTAGAATATCTACCCACGTGCTGGATTTAGAATTAGACGCGGGGAAAAACAAAGAAAATGTACACAAAACTTTGTTATTAATAAAGTCTCGCCAAACTGATGATGTGGCGTGGATAACTAAATCCATGATTTAACACGCCGCTCCTGCCCATCACTGTCAAATACTATATAAAAAGCAAAAGAGGTGGTTTCAGTAAATTTTTACTAACACCAACAAATATTCACCTTAGAGATATAGAAATTTTAGGTTGAAATGTTTGAACAAATTCAGCAAAAAGCACAAAAAGATAGGAATACACAAAGCAACTAATAATATTGAGTCTGTTATACAAGTAGATGAGTTTGAATCTCAATTTGTGTTAGTATAGTCAAATTATGATGTAGCACAAAAAGCATACAATATTGGATGTGAAACTCTTTCTTCCCATAAACAGGTCATAGCCTTGTCCAAGGACATCATACCAAAGTATATTAGTTTTGCTATAGCAGCTCGTTTCCTTCATTCGACCAAGTACAATTTAGTTTCCGTTTTTACTGTACCATGCTAGAAATATACATCACTTAAACGGTCCAATACATACGAATAATAGCAGAAAAAAACAGTCTAGCACTTTTGAAAAGCTAACCAAAGCTTGTTTCTATTTCTATCCCTCTAATGTGACTAACTACATTTAATCATCTGTATAAAAAAATATTTATCCAAAAAAATGCATATCATGAATGTCAGGATTCATAAATGACATGCTTTTAATTATGGCTTTCAGCTTCACAACCAAAATTTTTCATCATGTATCAATGCACAAACTCAAAGATTCATTTTTCTAGCACTTCACTTTACAAGATTTCACAAAAAGAAACAAAATAATTGCAATGAATTTAACACACCTTCTGGTGAGTCATATGCTTGATGACAGTTAGTTTCAGCAAATAGAACCAGGTACCGCAAAATAAAAAAGAATTTCTATCAGATAATCAGCCAATGCATGCCAAGTACTTCGAACTCACACTAACAACAGAGCTTTCAAAGGCCACATAATTGCTGAAGTGTGATTAATATTGCCTTAAAAAGAAGTCAAGACCAATTTTGTTGGGGATAAGTAATGTCAAGACCACAATCAGTTTCACCAAGTGAGTTAAATACATAAATATACCTATTTGTATGAGGAACTCAATAAAATTCCACCTTCATTGAACTAAAAGAAAATGAAGGAAAGAGAGGAAGAGTAACAGATGCATTTTTTTTATCAGATTTAAGAGAAAATAAATATAAATGTCAGGACGAAGATTATTTCCTATCCAAGTTACTCATATAAAATACCTGTTTACATGGAAAACTCATCAAGATTCACCTTCTGCCTTCAAGAAAACGAAGTGAATGAAAGAAATCATCAAGAAACCTGGTCCAAGGCGAACTGCGGTAGGAGATTTATTAAAACCATTGAATTCGGAATATGGCAAAATAGCTCCTGGGTGGGGAACTACTCCTTTGATGGGTGTCGCAATGGCCTTATTTGCGGTATTTCTATCTATTATTTTGGAGATTTATAATTCTTCCGTT